TAAAAACACAAATCGAATCAGGAGGGATGGCTCAAGCCTGTCATCTCAAAGGAGGCTGAGACTCAGAGTTCAAGGCCAGTCAGAGCAAAAACATTTGCAAGACCCCAATTAACCCAATAAAAATAATGCATGGTGGTATGAAGTTACCATCCTATCTTCAAATGGGAAGATAGCATAAATGCAAGGATCAGGAAAAAAAAAAAAAAAAGAAAGAAAGAAAACAAAAGAAGCTGAACCGCTGGTTCAAGTGGTAGTAACTGCCTTGTAAGCACAAGGCGCTATACTTAAATACTTGTGCCATAAATAAAATAACATAAAATTTAAATTTAAAAATATAATCGTTCATGTGACATTATCATATTCAGAAAAAAAGATTCTTAACCTTGTCTGGCTGCATCTTTCACCTTTTTTCTATGGAACACTGAAGGATACACCGTAGATATTCTATGAATAATTATGGAACTTACAAATTTAAGACTGGTGTTCTAACTGTCCAATTGATAACATAAAAATCAACAATTTAAAATTTGAAGCCATATTTTATGCCAATATTTAAACCTGTTAGATTATATCATGTAATACTGTTCCAGTGACCACAAAAGAATAACAATGAAGGGATTCATAAAAACGACATTTCTAATAGAAGAATTATAATAAATATGAAATTAAGATTACAAACCAAGCCAAGCTCCCGTGGCTCCCACCTGTAATCTTAGCTACTCAGGAGGCTGAGATCTGAAGTCACAGTTTGAAGCTAGCCAGGCTAGAAAAGTCCCCATGAGACTCTTATCTCCAATTAGCCACTCAAAAACCAAAGTAGCACTGTGGCTCAAGTGGTAGAGCATTAGCCTTGAGCATGAAGAGTGTAGGACAGTGCCCAGATCCTGAGTTCAAGCCCCAAAACCAACAACTATATAGGAGATTTGATATGAAAAATTTTAAAATGTGAATTCTTGGGTACCACTTGAACAGATTCCAATCATAATACATGATTGGAATTACTAAGTAGCTTTTTTTTTTTTGGTCGGTCATGGGGCCTGAACTCTGGGTCCGGGTGCTGTCCCTCAGCTCTTCAGCTCAAGGCTAGCGCTCTACCACTTGAGCCACAGCACCACTTCCAGCTCTTTCTGCTTATATGGGGCTAAAGAATCAAATCCAGGACCTCATGCATGCAAGGCAAGCACCCTACCACTGAGCCACCTTCCCAGCCCCTTAAATAGCACTTTTAACAAACAGTTATTCTAACAATTATACTAGAGAAATTCTCCCATAGAATAACAGAAAGGGGAAATGAAACTAAATCTGTTTCCATACTTGAGCTTTGATTTTTAGCTCTTGCTATCTTGCAGACAAGACAAAAAGGAATTAAAGAGGAAACAGACACTGACTGACACCAGGAAGCCTGGCATTTTGTCAGGGAAGGCCAGTAAGTTGCTTCAAATCCTTTTGTAAATAATCACAGTATGCACGTGGAGAGAAAAAAATTCCCCAACATTAACACCAACAAAAGCCTACCAGATGGCACTTCATGTAAAGGACATTAAATAATCAGAGTGAAAATGTTCTTATGAGCAAGCAGGGAATATATAGAAATAGCATCAAATGGGTATTTCTTATTCTAATTTAATTTGAAGCATGAGGACAAATGTTACACACTACTGATTCTAAACTTGGATAGCCTCTTTGAAGAATACGGAAGATGTATGTGCTTTATAATCCAGCAATTCCAATCCTTGACTTAGCCTAAGATTTTGAAAAACTCCCTATGTACACTAGGAGACATATATGAAGCAAATACCAATGTTGCTTGAGTTATGACACGTTGCACATTTACCTGCTACCTCACCCTGGTTTTTCTCCCATTTCTCTAGCTCCTTTTTTGTTGGTTTCCTTACTCAGCTATGAAACACCAGTAGCTTAAAGGTTCAGTCTAAAACATTACCCTTCATGTTCTATCAAGATGATCTCATCTACATTCGAACTTCCATTATCACTCTTTGAAGGTCTTTTTTTTTTTTTTTGGATCCGGTCATGGGGCCTGAACTCTGGGCCTAGGAGCTGTCACTCAGCTCTTCAGCTCAAGGCTAGCGCTCTACCACTTGAGCCACAGCACCACTTCCAGCTTTTTTCTTTTTGCTTATGTGGTGCTGAGGAATCGAACCCAGGGCCTCAGGCATGCAAGGCAAGCGCTCTACCACTGAGCCACCTTCCCGGCCCCTCTTTGCAGGTCTTATAACACATTTCTACCTTTATCTTTGATTTTTCCCCCTGAACTCTAAATTTTTTATTCAGCTGCTAACATAATATAGCACTCTTGTGCTCTCTCTCTCTCTCTCTCTCTCTCTCACTTTCTCTCTGAATGTCTCTAAGTAATTCTTCTGATGAACAGAAATCAAGTCAGAATTATGAAAAAAATCACCCCTAATATTTGAATATGTCCTCCACAGTTAATATGTTGGAATTCTTCATCCTCAAATTCACATTGATGGCATTTGGAGGTGAAGTCTTCAGGAGATTAAGGTTTGATGAGGTCATGAAGGCAAAGTCCCACGATAGGATCTTAGCTAATGGAAAATTCTCTTGGCCTGTGCCACTTTATGATACAATATAAATTCAAAACATGGCCAAGCTCTGGGTAACCTGTCCCCAATCTTGCTCTCTGTGGGGCCACCCTTCAGAGCCTGGTCTCACTATGCTTTTCCTTATGCTGAAGACATTTACATGTGCTGTTCTTTCTGTCTGAAACCCTTCCTTCCTTCTTTGATTAGTTAATTCATCCTTCCGATGAACCCTCAGAAGTCATTTGCTCAGGGAAGCCTCTTCCTGACTCCCTGACTATATTCCTGATCATTGTCACATTTCCCTGTAGATTGCCACAGCTGTGTACACGTCACTACAGGACTGAACGGCTGTTCTCTTCCTTGAGATCACATTTCATAAGCATGGAAGCTGTGGTTGCTTATATTCCCAGCTCTATATGTCAGATGTTCATGTACATGGCTAGGTGAATGAATAAACTACAAAAAACACTCAAATTTTTTGGAAATTAATATTGTTTCTCCTTTTCAAAAGGCTTATACTTTATTTAAAGCGCTCTATTAAATGGCACAAAATGGTGCCTCCATATTAATAAGAAATGTTACCATTTTAAATACATTGCTATCATTGAGATGACAAGCTGTTATTATTATTCATGTTGAATTCATTCTCTGTGGCAGAAGTTACTTTCTGGTTACCTCTGAATCCATTCTCAAATACTTTGTCACCTGCTAACTCCATTAAAAAGCTGAAGATTAAAATAAATTATCAACATCTTAGAGGTATGGCAATCTCTGCATACAGTAGGCAGAAACAGGAAGTCTGTAACTATCAGGCCATGCTGTATGAAGAGTCCATCTTGGTGACAGAACAAAATATATAAATATAAATTATTAAACACAAATAATGCAATACAAATTAAACCATGATATTAACAATAAAAATAAAGCAAGAACAGAAAACAAAGGATGAAATATATCAAAGAAATTCAGTATTAAGCAAATAAATGACAGAAGGCAAGTATAAAAGCAAACAACAAAATAAAGTTATATCAAAATTTTATGTAAGTATTTAAGTTAATCTATCCAAGGTTGGTCTTTATTCTGCCTGATCATGGTGGTAAAATAAATAAGTAAAAATAAAAGCTGGAAAAACATAATTCTTATTTTGTTTTTTTTGCAACTAAGGCCATAAGACCCTAATTCATAAAATTTAAGTGGGAGTTTTCTAGGAGGCTTCTGAAAGGTACTTGCTGTGCTGCTATAAGTAAGCTGTGGCAGTTTTCTCTTTTGCTTCATGCAACTATAACTGTGATGTCTGGAGTTGCAGCAATGATATTACATCTTTGAGGAAAAGCTAGTGAGACCTCAGAGCGCTGAAATATCACAGGCAACTGCCTACTTTACTGTACCTACTTACTTTGCTTTCCTGTTTTGTTAGGAAAACCAATCTTTATTTTATATTCTATTACTTGTATCTGAGAACACTACTTGATATTCTGCCCAATACCAAAATTCTCAACCAGACAACCTAATGCTGACCAAGATGAGTTTACTCTTTTTTCTTTTTCATGAAATTTCTCTGCTATTCTCTATTACTATATTCAAAATTAAATGTCAAGTATATTTTTCTTTATGAAACAGAAAATCAATTGTAATTTTAACAATAAAGGAAAGATTCTTTACATTTCTTGTTTTGAGGTCACTTAGAATCTATGGAGAGCAGAATAACATTCATGGGGTAAAACACTACACTGCACTGCTCTCGAAGATGGAAAGCCAGGCTTTAAGGTATGTCAATATCTATTCAACGTCAGATTATTAGCAAGTAACACATTCTAACAAATATGTAATTGTATAAATATGAAGCTGGATAATAACTCAGAAATTTTAAATAGTTTTATTATATACATTTAGATTCTACTTTTTAAAAATTTGCAATACAAGAAAGGTTACTTTAAGAAGTGATAAATCACATGGTATGAGATAGAAGACTATATATTCTTTGTAGTGAAACCAGGGTATTTGGACCATATTCCTAAGATGTATGAAATTAAAGTTTATGTTGAGGTTAGGAAACCCAATTCCGTTACATGCAATGGTGGAAAGGAATATGAATTAAATGGTCTTGGCCGGGGTCCATTCAGTTTCTTCCAAAGGCTCCATCTAGATCATGAGGACCAGTTTTCACACTGTGCTGTAACACAGCCTACCATCAGGCCTCCAAGCCTTCCACCCAGGGAAGCTGATTTTTCTCCACAAGAATTTGTTTCACTCATTGAAGACATGAAAATTACTAGGAAAAATAATCTCCTGGGTCTTTTCTAGTACTGACTGATGTACATGATAAGATCATGTAAGCTTCTAAACTTTTTAGGAGTAAATCTATTCATCAAAATTCATGTAGTAATGTGGGCCAGACTTATTTTCAGAGCTATATTCAAACAGAATGAATGTTTTTACCTTGTGAAAATGCCATCCACAATCCCAATTGTTGCTTCCTCTGCAGGAACATAGGAACCAATCTGAGCCATGATGGTAATCAGTGCAACTTGTTTAATGTAGGAGCTCTTTCCACCCATGTTTGGTCCAGTAATTATCATTACTCTCTCTGAGTCCTCCTAGAAATCAAAAAAGAATTTCACTTGCTGTACCAACAGAGTTTTCATGCAACATCTGTAATTTATTCTTTTTTTGTGTTGGTTGTGGGGCTTGAACTCAGGGCCTGGGCTCTTTTCTGTACAGGCTGGCTTCAACATGCAATCCTCAGCTCTCAGCCTCCTGAGTAGCTAGGTGTAATTTATTCTTACAGCGAGGAATTTAATAGGCACAATGTTGCTTTGTGGTTTATTGCTTCATTAATTCATTTACCATTGAGATTATAAAACAAATAAGGCTAGGTAAATTTTGTACAGAAAGAGTGTCACTTAGTTCATAGTTCTGAAGGTCCAAGAGCATGAGCATGGTGCTGGCTTCCGCCCAGCTAGGGTGGATACTTCTTGGTGGATAGCAACACAATGAGGGGAACACTTGTGGGAGGAATTCAAATGGCAAGACAGGAAGCCAGAAACTGGGGAGGGGCCAAGCTCACTCTTATTGTAACAAACCAGATTTAATCCCATGTGAGAGCAGGGCTCCTAATGACTGAATTACTTTCCAATTGGTGCCACCTCTCTTCTTTTGGTGCTAGGGGTTGAACCTAGAACCCATTCTTGCTAAGCTTTTGATCTACCATGGAGCCATACCACCAGCTTAGTCCATCATCTCTCACATCACAACACTGAACACCCTGTTTCCAACACATCAACCCTTGGGACAAACTACATCCCACTGAAGCAGTCAACAATATGAATCACAAAGAGAAAGAGAACCTCTTTACTGTCAGCCTAAACTATGATATTGCAGAAAAATAAATTCTGAGCAATCAGTCATAGCTACTTCTAGGAAATAGAAAGTAACCCGAACTGCATAATCTCTATGGCTTTCTTCCTAAGCATTTTCTAATATTTCTATATGAGTGTTTTTTTATACTGCTTATATGTTAAAATCTTGTTGATCCATTTGTTAATCTTAAAACTCTAAATATTAAATTTCTCATTGCCCAGGGCTCTAATTTGGTTGGCAGCATATGAATTTTACAGTCATAGGCAAATGACTATTAAAAGAAGTTTACAACACCAAATTCTAGATACAATCTCACCAGAATTTAATTATTCATTGGCATTTTAAAAACTGGTGAAAGAGGAAGAAGAGCTGTTACTCTTAATATGATTGACACCCCTAGAATGCCCTTGTATTAACCAATTATAGTACTTGCCACGTACAGACTGCTAAGAGAACTTGTCTGACCACTGTGCTCAGCGGAGGAATCAGTGTGGGACACCCATGGTCTGTGCCATGTACACCCACCACCTCAGCAATGGCTGACAAGAGGAATCAATCTGGAACTGGTCAGGGGGCCTACCATGGAAGTTCTCAAATAAGGCCAATCTATAATCACCTGAAAACCAGGGACAGGCTCACTCAGAGGGAACTAGTGAGGAATTAAAGATTTACAGAAAAAGGCCATAATTATGGCACTAAGAGACAAGGTACAAGGCAACAAAAGGAGTTGAAAAACTTCATGAAAATAATGAGGGTTCAAAATGAACAATTATGAAAGCTTATGCTTGAAAGAAAAGATTAAAAATGTGTTCTATCCCTAAAACTGCCTCATATCCTAATGCTGTTCTTCCTAGTGTTCCTTTTCTGATGGTTCCATGTGGGTTTATACAAAGCACAGAATCTTCACTACAAAAAAGAACTGGAGTGAATCTGTAGTTTTTGAAACAAAAAAAATCACATCATAGTAGGAACAGAGAAAGAAGTGAGCATAAAGACTAATGAAAAAAATAAGTGTTAGCGAAATTACAAAATAATAAGCTTATTAATAGACAAATATTTAGCATAACAAAATATTTAAATATATTTAATTAAATGAACAAGTTTTTAATGGCAAAATGACACAAGAAATGGAAGCACTAATAACCCTATACCTATTAATATGAAAATGAATCTGTAATTAAAATACCTCCCACAGGAAAAAAACAACACAGTTAATATCCCCACTACATTCTTAAAAAACATTTAAGAAATAGCCCCAATACTATAAAAATGCTTCCAGAAAACAGAAGGCACTTTTCCAAATCATTTGAAAACGTCAACACAATATTGATACCAACACAAGAGCAATAGAAGAAAGAGAAATTATGGACCAATACATCTATAAGCAAAACTGCTGAATAAAATCATAAGCCAAGGCAGGAGGTATTACTCAATATTATAATGGTACAATAATTAAGGTAGGGTAATTTGGTACAAAGACATACAATTATACCAGGCAAATACAACAGAACCCAAAAACCAATTGACAGGAATACATTTTTGACAAAAGTAATGACATAGCAGCCGCAGCAAAGAATGGTGTTCTCAAGAACATCAATACTGAGTCAAAAGAGTGTCCATAAATAATGAAATATGTGACCCCCCAACTTAGACTATAAATAATACCCAAATTCAAGTAAATTTCATGTTTGAAAGATGGAAAAACAATAGCATTACAGATAACTTATGATTTGGGGGGAGGCACAGATTTCCTTTTTAAGGGAGGAGAGAGTATTGAGGTTTGAAATCAGGGCCTCTTGTTTGTTAGGCAGGTGCTCTATCATTTGAGACATTCCCATTTTTGTATTGGCAATTTGACACAAAGATCTGAGAACTGAAATTCTTATTCTACTGTAAGGAAGTAAACTGTAAAACATTTCAGAAAACTTCAGCAGTATCTACTGAGGCTGAAAATAGACACAGCCAAACAATTCTGCTCCCACAGACATGCCAAGCAGAAATGTGTATGATACATAACAAAAGATAAATGAAAGACTGTTTGCAGCAGTGCTTTTTATAATGGCCTTAAATTGGAAGTAATTCAAGTGTTTGCCAATACTGGGACAGATAAGTTGTGATATATTCATAAGAGAATTTGATATGATTACAGAAATAAACTACAATTGTAGGTGAATCTCATAAAACTAATGTAGAACCAAAGAAGCCAGACAGAAGGTATGTTGCAATTCAGATAAAGTTCAAAGTCAGACAAAATCACTATGAAAGAAATTAGGACAGAGATTATTGAGGAAGGGGGGACAAACAGCTGTTGGGAAGAGCTCCTCTACTTTAGAAGAGGCCTTCTAGAATGTGTTCTAGTTCTATTCTACTGACCTATTTCTGACTCTGGGTGCTGGATACTTTAGTATGTACACTTTGAAGTATTTCCTTAAGCTGTATGTCTACGACTTCTGTCTATTTTTTTCGGTATGTTATATGTTAATAGAAATTGTTTTCTAAAAAAAGAAATTAATCCATTCTCACAAATTAATAAGCAAGCAACATGATTAGCAGAAGCTAATATGAAATTTACTGGATGCAGCAAAATCCCAAGGAAAGTCCATATACTTTAGACGAAGCACACCCAGGAGGGATGTTATTATAATACAGTAATATGATGCAACTTCAGAAAGAAGCAAACAGAAAAGTAGCAAGAGGATTACAAACAAACAAAAAAGCAATATTCATTAAATGAGTGTGGCAAAACTAGATGTCCATGTGAAAAGTGGCCAGAATCTCATACAACCCTCCTACACTAAATCTACGTGGATGGAAGAATTCAATATGAAAAGCCATCATGGGGCTAAGCCGGGCACCAGTGGCTCACGCCTGTAATCCTAGCATTCAGGAGGCTAAGATCTGAAGATTGAGGTTCAAAGTCAGTCCGGGCAGGAAAGTTCATGGGACTCTTATCTCCAATAAACCGCTAGAAAACCGGAAGTGGTGCTGTGGCTCAAGCGGTAGAGCGCTTGCCTTGAGCTGAAGAGCACAAGGACAGCACCCAAGTCCAGAGTTCAAGCCCCACGTCCGACAAAAAAAAAAAAAGAAAAGCCATCATAGGGAAAAGGTTAAATGACATCAAGAGAGAGGATGAAATTAAAGAAAATAGAAAAACAAAACAATTCTGTTCCCAGGTATGTTGCCAAAGATAAAGCATAACAAATGATGAGTAAAAGATTGTTCACAGTGGTACTTTTCACAACAGTCTCAAATTGGAAGTAAACCAGGTGTTCATCAACAGTAGAACAGATACACTGTGATATAGTCACAGTGATATATGACATGGAATCCAAACCTGGAAAGGCAAATAACAAAGAAGTAATAGATAATATATAACTCCTACATATCAATAACACTAACACAATGGAAAATGGACATAGGATACAAATAAGATATTTGTAGAGAAAAAGAATACAAAAGGTTAACCAAAGCATATTATTAGAAAAAAATACTACAAGTAGCATCAGTCAATTAAGTTATTCTTGATATTTATCTAAAAGGAATGCCTGGTAAGTGCCCACAGAAAAGAAACCAGTATATTAAAGAGAAACCTGCACTCCCATGTGTAGTACAGCATTATTCATGATAACTGAGACATGGTGATATCACACACACTCATACATGTGTGTATATGTGCACACGTGCACATACACACATATACATTCACACTGAAATGGAATATTATTTAGTCAGAAGAATGGATGAGAAATCCTGTCATTTGCAAAAAAGTAGATGGAACTGAGATGATTAGGTTAAGTGAAATAAGCCAGGCAAGTACCACCTGACCAGAATCAAATACGGAATTAAAAAAAAAAAAAGTTAACCTTACTGAACCTGAGAGTAGTTTGCTGGTTATCTGAGGATTGAGGAAATAGAAGGTACAGGAAGGGAGGATGGAGAAAGGTTTGACCAGTGGGTACTGAGTTGCAGTTAAATAGGAGTAAGTAGTTCTGGTGCACTGTAGATATTGATAATGTACTATATCTTTCAACTAGCTAGAAGAAAAGATTATTATAAATACTTCTTTTGGGGAGGGTCCAGTCCTGGGGCCTGAACTCTGGGCCTGGGCACTGTCCCTAAGCTCTTCAGCTCAAGGCTAGCGCTCTACCACTTGAGCCACAGCACCACTTCTGGCTTTTTTCTTTTTGCTTATGTGGTGCTGAGGAATCGAACCCAGGGCCTCAGGCATGCAAGGCAA